TAAAGTAAAGTAAAGATTTGAAGTTAACGTATCCTTTTTGCTGCCAGGGCTAATCTGGACGGGGCCTTCTTTGTTTACGCGGAATCCGAACCGCGGTCCTCGGCCATATCATGGTCAATGGCCTACCGGCTTGGCAAGTGTCTAAATCGACTCTTACTCACGAGATATCCGATCTCATCCGGCCTCGAACCGGCGTGAATAAGCAATGTGTGTCAATAGATTTTACACCTTTGCCTTTATTGGACAACAGCACGATACAGAGTTTTGAACAGGTCACCCGTCCATCCACTAGTATCGCGTCGCTTAATTTCGGTGTTCTGATGGGAACCGGTGTTTCGGCGTAACTGGGCCGTTACCCTTTTGTTAGTGGCAAAATAAAAAGAAAAAATAGGAATAGGAGTATTTGGGTCGAAAACTAAATACTCCAAACTGCACACCTGCAGTGTGCAACCAACAAATACCTGCAACCAAACCGAATGAATGGGCATATATCCCATCATTTTTAAGGCAGAAACGCTATCGAAAGATTCGTACAAGTTATCTTAGATATGAACTATCATACCTAACAATAAACAGCCAACTCCCACCGATATTCAAGCAACCTTAAGAGCGATCAACTTAGTAACTATCCATTCGAAGTTGGTTAAAGAATGCCTCGAAAAATAAGCTGGATGAGTTGGGCATAGAGTTGGCTACTAACAGAATGGTCATTTTGACGGGAAGCCAGAAGATGAAGGAGGTAGAATTTAGCTGGTACAATACCCACATTAAAAGTAGTGATGGGATAACACGAGCGAAAATTCGCTCAAGTACGCGATTATTGAAATAACCGACATCGCTCGATTATGAAAGAGCGATGTAAGTGACGAGTTACGAGCGACGAACGCAAGCAATCCTAGAATGAAATAAATTGAAATCCGATTGATTTTAATGTATCATACTCGATAAAAAGCCGAGCGAATTTTCTAGATACATTGCAGGTAGCAAATTTATACGACGTTATCCGTTGCGTATCTGTGGGACAAAATTTTACAACCTACATCGACAATGCTTTAAAATAAACTAAATCAAGCGAATCGCTCGTCGCTTGCTATTTACCATTCATCACTGAAAGAATATGTGCTCTATGCACGCAACTTACTGCTTGGCGTTACGAATACAACAAGCGACAGGCGAAAAACCGTACTTTTAAAAATGCCAGCGATATTTCGCTCGAGCGATTGCTCGATTATTGAAATCGCTTGAAACTCGAGTACTCGATTATTGAAATTAATCGGTTTTTCCCATCACTATTTAAAAGTACAAAACCAGTAAAATACATGGGAGTTTGATTATATAAAGACGCACGGATGACCACCTATATCCGAAAAATTTAGGAAAAAACAAATCTTAAGGGACCGGTGGTAGTAAAGAGGAGGATACTGGCCTCGGTGGTGTCTACCATGATTATATCAATGCTGCCTACCATAATAAAACACAAAATAGACGATGAGATTAAAGCCAAAAATCCGTAATTATACTGTGATATTATTGCCTGTGATAAAGAACTAAACTGTGATAAAAAACTGACTGTGATATGATTAGAATGATAAGGAAGATATGTGTGTATATGGAAATGAATGTTGGAATAGTTTAGAAATCGATATATAATTGACGATCACCTGTTATCTCGATGTCATGCTTCACGGCAGTTCCAGGATAGTTAGGGTTACGTAGAAAAGATCTGATCGTAGAAGAAAGGACCTGGAAGACTCCATCCGTAACCTGGAATGGGAATCTTCCAACGGTGTAAGACACTCGAAGAAATTTTTCAGGACTTACGACCGAGAGATATCAAAGATTTCCTTTGGTTTAAGAAAGAACAATCGTTGGATTGTCACGGGGTTTTAAACAGGACATTGTCTCTTCAACGAACACGTTAGTAGACGTTCAGTTCCTTGGTACGACTGATATCGGTGATGGAGAACTAAACTCTGTAAAACCGTCTCAGACACTGGCTTTTGCCAAAGCCATGAAACTGTATAATAAGTTATAACTCAAGAGAGGAGGAATAGATCTATAAAGTCGCGGTGATTAACTTCTTCCCTTCCATACAATCTACAATCTAGTGTCAAAATGAAAAAAAAACAAATATATAAACCGAATAATAATAATCCTGACAATGATGTCTTTCATGAGGCTATGGATGGCATAACTTGGCCGACTCTATATCTCAAACCTCAACGGCCGAAATAAAATTCAAATTGAGCCCAGATGGGCTGTCAGTCCGGGCAGGTTCATTTTCGGCCCTTTTGTTCCAATTCTTTGCCGATTTTTGACCTAATAAACTACAATACACCTCTTGACCGGCTGTTGGCCATTTATCAAAAAAACTATGCTCGTTCTATTCAAATTAGCTAGTTTGTATACGAGTTTAAATGCAAAATAAATGAAACAATCATTTTCCAATGAATTATCGCGGCAGCCAGCTAGGTTAATGGTTTTAAACTAGTGAGCAACGTGTTTATTTATAAAAATGAAATGTTACAAATATGCGGCTTAATGCGTGCAAAAATCATTAGCATATTACTTAAACATTTTTTCCTTTTATATATTATGTACCTTATTTGCATTCAATTATAATTCAGTTTAAGTTTATTATGTTAATTAAGGGGTTTAATTAATTTGAAATCGTGGCATTAAAGATTTTTTTTCAAAAGTTGACTTATTGTTTTATTTATTTTAATTCTATGAGGTTAAGTATAGAAAGACTGTTTATAAATTCTGAAGTTTTTCTTCATTTCTTTTTAATTATGAAAAAATAGGTGTATCTATACACCGTATGATAAAAAAAAACGGCGTCCAGGTCGCTTGGAAATGACGATCGATGTCATTCCCCATATAATTTTACATATAAAATGACAGCGATCTTCATTTCATAACCATCACAGATGCCCTTTTTTTCGATCATACGAAAGTATAATAGTGTAATTATGTAAAATAAAATAGTGTATACCGGATGCGTCTCACAAGTGGCTCACTCCTATAAATTTTTTATTTTTTAGATAACAAAACGCGATTTGGCATGTTAGTATATGACATAAATTAGGATTGATTGACGTATGCATTTGTTTTTGGTAACTTCCTGTTTCACTGGAAATGACTACAACTTTTGATTTTTAAATATTACCCTCGGTATATTTTTACTTTATTCGATCGAAAATAACATTCTAAATACAATGACATATCATATGTCAACTTTTGACATTTTCGCTTAAAAACAAATCGTATTTTAAATTTCAATCTATAGTGCCATGGCTGCGTTAAAAACACCATTTTTTAATTAAGGAAGCTTGGAAAAATAGATTTAATTATCTAATGTTTTTCGTTTATTGTTCTGGCCGGTTAACAGATGCCCAAATCGTATTTTTAATAATATCCCAATTTTTTCAAATGAAACGAGGGTGGCTTATTAGCATATTGGGAAAAAGCATTTTTTTCGAATAATTTGGTACCAAACACTTGGTATTCGAGTCAAATTGTCGTTACGAATCGCAAGTTACAATTTCAAATAACGCATATGCGAAAATGTCAAAAGTTGACATATGATAATATGTCATTCTATTCAGAGTGTCATTTTCTGTCGAATAAAATAAAAAAATACAGGGTGTGTCATTTAAAAATGAAAAGTTAAATAAATCAATCCTAATTTATGTCATACCTATACTAAATCTCGTTTTGTCGTCCGAAAAAATAAAAAAGTTATAGGGGTGAGCCATTTTTGAAATGCACCCGGGATATAATATACCGTATGATAAAAAAACGGCGTCCAGTTAGCTTGGAAATGAAGATCAATGATATTTCACTTATAATTTTACATTGAATGTAATTATTCTTTAGCCTTTATATAATAAGTTTTGTTAGTTGTTTCCTGGGTGGTGTCCCCCTTTCTTGAGTTATAACTCATCATACAGTCTATAACTCATCATCCCTGGGGATCTTCCTGTTGTAGGAGGAAGGGCTATTTCACATGCTCTCCTGACAATCACTCAAAATAATAAAATGTGCTGAACAAAGAAAGAACAAGTATTTTCCAAAGCGCATGAAATATAGCGTCGGATTAACTGGTTATGTTACAAACACTTTACATTTTTTTACATACCTGCACAAGACTGTCACTCAATAAAAACTAGCATGTATGTAAAATAAAGTTCGCTATAAGCATTTTTTAAACCAAAATATAGACTATTATTTAACATATTCTCTGTCTTTTCCAGGCCAAGGACGAGTAAACCAACTGGGTGGTGTCTTCATCAACGGACGTCCTTTACCCAACCACATCAGATTGAAAATCGTGGAAATGGCCGCAGCAGGCATCAGACCTTGCGTCATTTCCCGGCAACTCCGAGTTTCCCACGGATGCGTTTCAAAAATTCTGAACCGGTACCAAGAAACAGGCAGCATCAGGCCCGGAGTGATCGGAGGCTCCAAGCCCAGAGTAGCTACTGCAGAGGTAGAGTCTAGAATTGAGCAGTTAAAGAAGGAACAGCCGGGGATTTTCTCGTGGGAAATTAGGGACAGATTGATCAAAGTAAGTTGAAATAATAGTTAACTTATTAATCGTATTAATCGTACGTCAATTATTCTTGTCTTATTACATCAAAACATCAATCGTGTCAAGGAGACATCGAATTTTTTAACACTACTAATGTTATTTCTTTCAAAGATTATTAATCATCCTCTTGCTAAATGGCATTCATTAGAGGGTTTAAGATTAATATTACTACTTATTTCAATTTACTTCTAACTGTATACAGGTATTACAGGTGTGTTTTTTTAAATAGATTTGACATTGCTATTGAAGAGCTGGACTTTAGTTTTTTGCTATATATAGAGGAGTTTCCACACAGCTTTATTAAGCTTCTTCTTGGAGTCTAAGAAGTTTTTGAGACATATCCGAATGGGGAAAACATGCATAGATGGTCTGCGTAATCCAGGTCTTCTAGCCTGCTTAAAATTACCCATTGTATCACTAGTGGTTCTTTAAATGCTCTGTTAGTGCTACATCCAGAACATTATTTTACATAGTCTCTGAAAGTTTACAGGCCAAGGACACCTACTGCAACTAGAAAATTTCTCCCCAACTCGACGTCCTTTAGTATACAGCACATCAGATCATGAAAATCATTGGAAATGGGATTAGCAGGCATCAGACCACTGCCTTTTCTCGGCAAAGCTTTCCAGATGGCTATATATATTTCTGAACCGTTTGATAAGAATGAGGCGCCATCAATACATGGTGTTCGTGGAGGCTCGAAGAGCAGAGTAGCTACTGCAGAGGTACTTTCTAGAATTGAGCAGTTAAAGAAGGAACAGCCAGGGATTTTCAAGTAATTCAAGGGACAGAATGGAACTTAGTTACTTAAAATAATAGTTGGTCTTATAAACATGTAAAATAAATAAATAAATAAATAAATTCTTGCCTTTATTACATCAAATTTTTTCAATTTGTGACAAAGGTAAACTATCAAACAAAGTAAAAACACAAGGTACAATGTTATTTCAAACAAAAGATTACAAAACATTATATAAATAATATTGTCAGTCTTATTGTTAAAATAAACATTTATAAATGTTTACAATGTCAAAAAAGAACAAAAAACTTAAAATAATACTCAAAATATTTAGCCAGTTTATAGCAAAATATCAATGACTCTTGCTAAATGGCATTCATTTAGGGTTTAAGATTAAGCCTTACTACTTATTTCAAATTACTTCTAACTGTATACAGAAATGAAAACAGGTGATGTTTTTAAATAGATTTCACATGGCTATTGAATTGCTGCATTTTTTAGTTTTTGCTATATATATTGGAGTTTTACACAGGTCTGAGCGTGCCAAAAGGTAGATCAAAATCTTGCTCGCGTTCCTGAGTGGATAAGTGTGAGATGGCCTTTCTTGAGAAGCTGATACATGTTTACGTATTAGGCAAACGGATTCAAATATAAATAAGGGAAGGAAGAGTCAATATTCTTAATTCTTTAAAAAGTCCCGGCAATGAGTTCTGCTGTTTAGTCCTAGTGAATATCGAACAGCTCTCTTCTGGAGCTTGAAAATGCTGTCAAATTGAGTCGCACAACACGTACCCCAGAATGGAAGGGCATACCTGAGGTGCGACTCAAAAAGTGCATAATAAACAGTTCTAGCCACTGACAAGTTAAGCTCCTTAGAAACAGACCTTAATGCAAAACAGGCAGAGCTCAATTTTTTTCGACAAAGCTTCGATATGTATGTCCCATTTCAGAGAATTGTCCACAACAAGCCCTAAGAATTTTACAGATTTTACGACGTCAATGGTGGTGTTGTTAAGTACAAAAGGCTGCAATGAGTTTTATATACGACAAAGCTTTAGTTTTAGAAATGTTGAGACTCAGGAGGGTTCGAATCGCACCAAGATTTAATGGTGATTAAGTCATTTGATATAATCCCTATGAAGTGCCGTGATGTCCTTGTTGCTCCAATTGAAGCTAGTGTCGAAATAGGGCCTAGTACTGAGCCTTGTGGTACTCCACATTCTATTGGCTTGCTAGAAGACAACGTGGTATCCACCCTTACAAGTTGACTTCTGTTGCTCAGATACGACTTAAACCATTCGAGAGAGAAGATCCCTGAACCCATAGTGCTGCAGTTTATTAATTAGGATCTTATGATTTACACAATCGAACGCCTTAGAAAAATCACAGAAAATTGTTGCTGTAGAATGATGGTTGTTTAGGCTGGAGTAAACTTTATTAAGGAGGAAAACATAGCGTCATTTGTGGACTTGTTGCTTAGAAATCCAAATTGATATTCAGTAAGTATTTTGTGCTTAAACAGAAAAGATACCGACCTTATGTAGTATACAGCCTTTCTATGATCATTAGATAGCGTTGGAAGGAGTGCAGATTGGGCGATAGTTAGAAGCTTCATCTTTGTCTCCTCTTTGTGCAGAGGAATGATTATTGCCGTTTAAGATATATATATATATATATATATTGGAATATATATATTTATTAATATATATAGGTGATATATAGTATGTATATATTTCAAAACATTGTTTCATAAAATAGCCCGTCGGCCATAAAGGATTTATTTTCGATGGTATTTTCGACTGAGCTCTTCGAGAACTATAAAACGCAGAAAAAACATAGAAACTGTGTAAGTTTACATTATCAAGTAGATTCAAGAAAGTGGATCATAGGAGGACTTAACTTAGTTAAGTTCTTTTTAAACATTTACAACACTAATATACTAACTTTATGAGTTCACTCCTTCTCTCGAGATAACCTTTCCACTGCAATTTGTGGAATCTAATTCTTGAAATGAAACGTGTAAACACAAACGCCATTTTGCGTCTTTCGGTGTAACACTAACTCCGTTAAAGAATCTCACTGAATTATTCAGACTGCTTCAGTGCGACTGACAGCTGAGAATCCCTCATTAACATCATTGGAAACAACTAAACCTAAAAGTGCGTCATTAACTTTTAATCGGCTGCTAATTGTGCCTTTTTTAATTTATTTTGCTGTTGCAATGCCAAAGGTTTAAGCCTGAACAGTATTATTCATAGATAGATATAATCTATTGAAAACTTACTTAGATAAAAAATGTATTTTTTGTTTTACAGGTTAACATTAATGGACATATACATTATTAATGATTCATGTTTATTTCTCATTTTCTATTTGGCGATGTCACATAAATTTGACGACAATATGGATATTTACTTTGGCTGAAAGTAAATTTTATTTTATTATTCATTAATTTTAAAATTCGCTTTTCCTAGAAAGTATATTCATCACCATCATCATTGCCATTACTCGCTGACGAGTATCGAGTATTTGACACGCATTAGAAGATGATTACGCAAGGCGTTTTCTTCATGAGCTTTTCTGTGACTGAAAAGCCCGATACGTGATGTTATCTCTCTTCCGCACTCCAGACAGTCAAAAATTTCATTACTTTGTTGCCTCTTTACTTTTTGGTTGTCCTTGTTAACTGAGTTCAGAATTCTTCTCCATTGCGTTCTGTTGTGCGCTGATTCCTCCCTCTGATTCTTCGTACTTATATCCCCTTTAAGTTTTCATGGAAAATATAATTGTATCTCTTGAGTTGTCCACCCGGTTTCCTCTTACCATCAAGAAGCTCACCGTAAAGAAAAGATTTCGGTAGGCGGTTTTCTTGCATTCTGCATACGTGACCAGCTCATCTTAAGCGGAATTTGGTAATCATGATTTCAGCGCTCTCGCAGCTAGCTTTTCCAAGGATCGGTACGTTTGAGACATGGTGGTACAGTTTGATTCTTAACAGAAAGAAAGTATATTAAAATCCCAAGTAGCATCTATCTGACTTCGAACTAAATTTGACCTGAAGCGACATCAGACTTTGTGCAAATTTAGGTCGGGTGCTGGTGATACGACTCGTGACGTCGCTTTCCGATTAAAAGTGACGTCGTTGGGTCCGAGTCGGTAAATCCAACGATCTGTCGACGTACAAAATAACAACGTACCATTTTTATTAATTTCCCAACGTCGTTCCAACGTTGGCTTTCACGACGATACCTATACTTGAACTAGCCCGACGTCTACCGTTGTCCGAATAGGATACGTCTCACTGATAATCCCTAAAGTAACGTCCAATTATATTTTGTTGTATTTTATGTTCATATTTTAACCTAATTTACGTATTTACGTACGTAAATACAACCCATTAAGTAGCATTTGCGGCATAATAAACATCATGATCATAACCTAATAAAAAGTTTTTGTAAACAAATTTAATTTTTTTTATTATGCCTAAAAAAACACTAAAAAGGCATTTAGAATTCATCTACATTTTACAGAAAGAGGTCGAGGCTTTTGCAAAATAATAATAGTAGTAGTGATGTCTTCCCTCCGCCCACGAATGCTTTTTATCCCGAAGAGATGCTGCATTACACTGGTGCATCTTAATTTCATTTTTTGCTAAGGAAACCAGCAGACCCCATCCTCCTCCCACATGTGAGGTACTGGTTCCAATTCTTTTAAATTTGGTATATACTATCTTAAAAAAGTGGCTGCCCATTGTTTTAAAGAGAAAACAAAAACTAAAATATAGTTGCACAAATCCACAAATCACTGATACGTAAAGTGAGGTTACGTGGCGTACGTTGGAATTATATACGTCATAATACGATTGCCGGTCGTCCGGTTTGATGACTTCGGTCGTGTGAGACGATTAATGTTGGAGACCCGGTCGGAATTGGTATATTGGTAGTTCATATTAAGTCGGACACAGAAATCCGCCATTCTTAACAGGTATCCGATTGTCAGCCATTTTAAAATCGTTTTTGTTTTTTAAAATTTATATTCACATTCCGATTTCTAGTAGAATAATATTGATAAGGTTGAGTTTGGGGGGAACCACAGTACAGTTTTATGATTAAACCAGCTAGAAAATAAAAAAAATATTTTGCGAGTTACTTTTTATAGATATTTTTATTTCATAAATCTACCTACTTTTGAAGGCGCTCGTTGTTTTCCGGAGTATTTTAATCAGATATATCAAAAAAGTGACTTCCGTTGACAAAACTGATGTCTGGATTAATGATTCAGAATTATTATAATATGAAATTAGATAGGCACTTATAGTTCTATTCGAGGAGTGATTATGAATCCATTTGTAATTAGGTAGTTTGGTTAGGTTTTTATGTATTCTTGGTAGCGAATATGAAACCAAACGTAACGTAAGTGCTTAGCGACGAATTTTAAGTCACTAAAATCCAACGTAATATGACGTTGGTAATTGGTAGAATTACATTCCCTATTAGGTCAGATACCGACGTCGAGGCGACCCGAATCTGTATTCCCCATTTAGGTGCAAATAAGGGTCGTCAGGCGGTCGAACCGACGTTGGTACACGACGTCGGATTTATTGAACGCGACGTATACCCGACGTTAGATAACGTCCAAATACTACTTGGGATACTAAAGATGGACATAAAAATCATAGTTTTAAACATGTTTCTCTTTTTTGTATACCATTAAAAATTGTAATTTTTCTTAAATTTCGTCTAATATTCGTGATTTTGTTATAGGAGGGCATCTGTGATAAAAATTCAGCTCCATCAGTCAGTTCCATCAGCAGGCTTCTAAGAGGAACGAGGAAAGATGACCCAGAACGAAAAAATCATTCAATCGACGGCATTTTGGGTGAGTAAATTATTTTTTTCTAATAACATTTACTTTTTTCAATATATGTTTCTAATAAAATTTCATTAAACTTTATCTGTTCTAAAACCGAAATAGAAAAAAATAAATTGGTATTTGTTTTAAGAATGTTCCGGTTAAATTGGATCAAATTTACCGAGCTTTAACAAAAAACTTTTCAGCTGTGTCGATAACCGATTATACCAGGTTTTTTTAACGTTTCAAACCTTATTTCGTTTTGTGGCTGTGTGGAGCTCTCTGTTGTAACAGTCAACTATGATTAGTAAATAAGCATGGACCTTTGAATAAGAAGACTAAGGAAGGAGCATATCAAAAATCTTAGGTACACCGCGATGGGCCTCAAATATGGCCGACTTAAATTCCCGTTTATCAGTGTCGTTCTAATTTTATTTAAAAAATGTAAAACTATGATGTAGGGTAGACGTGGGGTAGACTCAATAACTTGTTATTTTATTTTACGTTGTGAATAAATATTGGTAGCTATTAAAATTGTTATAAAAATATATAATTCTAATAAAAATAGATAAGTTATAATAAGTATTTATTAACACAAACATCCGATACGCTACTGAAGCAGGTAAGTCAAATTAACGTATCAAAATTCTTTGACATCTGATCTTTGACAAGTAGTAAATAAAAGCTAAAATGCAAGAAAATATATAATTTGGTTAATTTAAGTGATCGGTTTACTACACGTATGTATATTATATAGTCACTTACTAGCGAAAAGTTGTTCCGGTTTACTAAATGATCGGTTTACTACACGTATGTATATTATATAGTCACTTACTAGCGAAAAGTTGTTCCATTATTTCACTCAATTTTTGCCGAGATCTACCGCACGCTACACAACCAACTATTTTAGAGTCTTTTTCGATAAATCGCGATAATGTCACTGTTAATTTAAGTTCTGCCACAATTTCCATCTAGATTTACTACCTTTATATAACTATCAGTAGTAGAATAAATAATAAATAACATAAAATAAGCTCCGTAAAGACTGACAAATCCACAAAATTTCAAATCAAATTCAAATGTGTCAAATGAATCGTCAAACAGAACTGTCAAGGATCCCCACCCTAGAGAGCTTTTTCCACCATGCATGAATACATGGATAGCATTATGCTCCTTCCTTAGTCTTCTTATTCAAAGGCATGGACTCTCTCTGTCTATGATGTTTCACGTCATAGTTACAGCAGTTCTCATATTTCTTGCTCCTCGAATTTTAAAATTATATTGTATATGTTCTTTATACAGAGTGCTACAAATTCGACGTACCGAGCATTGTATCTCGAAAACCGCAATAGACACGAAAATGGTTAAATTGGGTAAAAGTTGTGCCTTAGGATGCTTACCAACATGCTATCAAAAAAGTTACAAAATTTTCAAGGCTTGCACAAAAAATACTCATTATGTTCATCGTAAAGCAGCCCATACATTATCAAACAAATTGCGCAACAAAGTGATGCGCAACGCTGCGTTGCACAACTGATTCAGCGGTCCATACACTATCAAACGTTCCGTTGCTCAACTGCATCACTCATGCACTTAGTAAAATTTTGATCAAACTTTTTATTAAAAGTTGTGCATTGTTTGAGAAACAATCATGTGCTCAATTGCCACTGCATCAATTATTATCGTATATACCCTAGATGATGCCGATGATACCAAAAAACAAAAAAGAAAACAAAGAATTTGGATGAAAGAGCTAAAATATTGCACAACGAAGCGCAACACACACATACACTACACAACGCGTTGCGCAAACAGTCCTGTTGCACAAAAGAATTCAAATATTCTTGAAACTCATCAAACAATTGCGCAACGCATCAAACACTACCATACGTTGGCAACTCGTTGCGCAACAGCCTGCATTGCGCGATTTGTTTGATAATGTATGGGCCGCTTAACAATATTGATGAGCGCAAATTAACATTGAGTAAAAAAATCCAGTTAACTGAAAGATTCAAAGAAATAATATCCAGGTCAGCATTTTAAAGGTATTTTTTTTTAACTTTTTGTATTAGCAATTTGGAATCTCAATATACGATCTAATAATATACATAATAGTAATAGTAATTATTATAAATAAATCAACTTCCCCAAACTAGTTTCTAATATTCTACATGTTCGAAAGGATTATCACCCTCTCAAATGCACAGATTTATTTTTTCATTCAATATTAAGCATTGCTCTTTCAATAGATCTTCTCCTTATACTTCCGAAGGCATTTTATATTGCTTGTTGTAAATGTTCAGGTGTATTGATTTCACTTTTACAAATGATGTCAAGTAATGCCCCCGAAAGGGAAATATCCCTTGGCGACAGATCCAGGAACCTCCCTGGCCATTATACTGCTCCATCATTTCCAAATCATCCAGGCAAATGATTTGATTGTTTATATTATGTTATATTATTTATTTTATAATATTATTTTTTATTGTTTTATTGTATTTGATTTTCCGTATTCAATATTTAACCACACGTCATTGCTTAAGTTTTAAAGCTCCTAAATATTGTTACGATGAATAAATTAAATATTTTAAAAAAACAGAGCCGGACTTGGAATTGGTTTAAATACATTATATTTAATCAGGTAGCCTTGATAAAATGGCTATGAGAATGCGCAATTAGTTTTTGAATTTTCTAAAAAGTAACAACAGGAAAAAATAAAATTGATTTTCAAAAAAAATCGTTTTTTTTTCACATAAATCATCAATCCTCGAAATTTTTGAAACTTTTTTAATGGTATCTTAGTCAATATCTCAAGACGCAAATTTGCCCTAATTTAACCATGTTCGTATCTATTACGGTTTTCGAAATACCAATGCTCGTACCCCGAATTTGTAGCACCCTATACAGGGTGAGTCTTAAATAAGTGCAAATATTTTTAGGGGTGGTATATTTCGACCCCAGGAACACGTCTATGAGTCTTTTTTGCTTCGCTAAAAAAAGATGTTGAAAATCGTGCATTTTCTTTTAAATTTCCCTGTAGATATATTTTTCGAAAACTTTTTAGAACTGTCTGTTCATCACAAATTTTGCCACGGTATAATTCCTTAATTTCAGATATTACCATAGTTACGGCTTTACTCTATGTTTACGGCACTAAAAGGGATGCAAATACAGAAAAAGCCGGTGGCTCTCAAAATTTTTCCAAAAAAAATATTTTTTTTTTTTAAATTTTCAAACTTAAATAACTCGGTTATTTTGGACTTATTTGAAAAATGGTAAAGAGAAAATATGTTTGTTTTATCGAGATCTACCAGCCCTGAAAATATTTGCACTTATTTAAGACTCACCCTGTATATAAACAAGGATAATACGTAATGTTTTATTGTACTTACTGTTTGTCACAGCTTACTCAACATCAGCTGGTCATCCTCACTAGTTGTTTACAAAGTTTCAATGGAGCTCAGGACCCCAAAAATGTAATCAAAATATAATTGGATATTTAACTTTTAACAAATTGTTTAAAGATTGACTAGACATAACTCCATGTAAACTAATATCTTAAAAGCACAAGTGTAGAGCGCTAGAAAAAACGTGTTAAACAAAAAGCGCGTACAACGGCGGTCGGTAGCTGTTAAATTCGATGATAATGAAAATCAATCATTGCATTAAAACGTGGCGATGATAAAATGATCCGTCATTACTGCTGAATGTAGCCGAGAAACTGACAGTCATTGTCGGCGTCTTGTGAGGTCCTGATTTCAGATTTTCTGTCGATTTTAGGCTCGGCCGATCCCTACAAAGAATTAATCGCTTTTTTACTGTATTAGTTTTAATCCTCAAATGATATAACCGCAGCAAAGCTCCGGCTCTTTTTTGTCTGGTCTAGTGTATATCACACGTATTTTATTTTTATTTGGTCCGTTTTTGTCGCTACGTCTGTTGGTTTAAAATACATTGATAGCAAGACAGAAAAACACTCCATTTACTAAAGGATTTTTTTTAAATGTATTTTTTGGAGATACAAGAGTTGTCTTTTATATTTTCCATATGGAGGTAGAAAAAAAAACAGTGGACAACTTTTAAACACTAGTATTTTTCGAAGTATTCTCCATACAAAGAGAAATGCATTTTTGCATTCTTTGGAAACAATTCTGAAAGGTGCTGACTGCATCTTCTGGGGATTGAAACCTTTGACCACGCAGTTCATTCTTAATTTTTGGAAAAGTAAAGAAGTTGTTAAGACTTATGTCGGGACTAAATGGAGGATGGTCCAACAATTCCATATTTTTGTGCTTTAAAAACTCAATTGTTTTTGAGCTGTGTGGGACCTTGCACTATCTTGATGGCGCATCATTCATTGTCGAGGATTGGTTTTTAGAAACTCAGCAATTACTTCCGGCAAACAAATGGATATGTACCAATCAGCAGTAACAGTTCTTTGATTTTGAAGAGTAATTGTTGCTCCATGGCCCACTTTTAAGACAAATGTAGCCATTATCTTTTTGGAAACACTTCGAGAATGGATAACTTTCATCGGTTTTGATTAAACTCGAGACACCCAAGCAGCGTTTATTTTCGGGTTCATAAGAGTAAATCCAGGGTTTGTTACAACTGATAAAACTATATATAATTTTAGAATTCATACGTTAAACCGATGTAGAGTTTTTCTCACCAATTGACTCTAATAATTGCTTTCTATTCTTCCATCAACAGATGCAGTATCCAACGAGATACCAATTTTTTACAGATAATTCTTCATGTAAAATTCTTTGAATTGAGGTCTTTGAAATGCTTAATAATGCTTCATTCCTAAGAGAAGAAGATAAACGGAGAATATTGGCTGTAGAGATGGATTACTTACGCAGAAGCGCAAGAGGGTCCAGATTACAAAGAGTGAGAAACGAGGAAATCAGAAACATAACATCTGCACAAGAAACCGTAATTCAACGAATAGAGAAAAGAGGTTTGAGATGGTTTGGTCATCTAATGAGGATGGAGGACACAAGATGGCCAAAACGGGTATTCAA